AGGGGGACACAGGCCACTGGCCGGGTTTGGGGAGCAGGTGCCAGGCTTTGTGTGAAGATGGGAGGGCAGGCTCAGTGCGGGGAGGAGGGGTGTCACAGTGCGGATGCCGGCGGGAACTTGATGGCGACATTCAGGGGGTGGCTGACCCAGGAGAGGAAGGAGAGGCAGACCTGGCCGTCGAGGGGGGCTGTAGGTGAGTGAGGGCTTGGGTTTGGGTTCCGTTCAGCAGGGACACCCCAGTTCCCTTGGCTCCTGCACCTGGCTGGCTGGCAGGCCTTGTTGGGGACATCCCATGCTCCTGTTGGCTGCGCCAACTTCACGCAGGCGAGTCTCCATCTCTTTGAGGGCCCCCATTTTTTTTATTTTTTACTTTTTGAAAAGCTGCTTCGCTGCAGAAATACTAGGACAGAGAGACTTTAAAAAGGACAAAAAAGAGATCTACTCCTCCTGCTGCCAACTGAAGACACCCACCCCGGCCATAAGGGACGTGTGACATTTTGGGGCCTGGCCTGGGATTTGCCCTGTGGCACCACCTGCCCATCCAGCACCTCTGTGCCTTCCTGCCCAGCACTGGCAGCTGGCAGTCACAGCATGTTCACCCGGGCTGCCAGCTGGCCAGCCTGTCACACGGCCACTGGGCGGTGACCTCACATCTGCTCCCCCGGCCTCTGGGGCCGGTCATTGGGAGGTGCACCAGTTACATGGCCCGTCCTCGCTGCCCCGCTCCTCCTCCCCGTTTGCGTGCACTGCACATCGTGTGGACTCCCGGCAGGCAGAGCCCGTCCCGCGCTCGGCCCCGGGATGGGTCTGGATCTGGCCCTGACCTCGGAAGTGGGATGGAGGTGCTGTGTTTGAGTAACCCGGTCTGCTGCTGATCGTGTTAGCCCTTGGATCCAAGCCTGCCCTCCCGCGACTGTAGAATGGGCACAAAGACTCCTTTGTCTTAGGGTATTTGGGATTTTAAGAGGTGGCCACGTCTCTAAGGGATGGTGTGGGGGGGGGGGGGTGATTGATGGCATCAGACAGGACTCTGGGGTAAAGGCTAGACAATCAGGTGGTTGAACTTCTTGGGCTTCAAGAAAGAAGGGAGATACGGGCAGGTTGAGAGGGTGGGTCCTGATGAGACACACAGTCAGTGACACTCACTGATGCTGCGTAACAAACGATCCCAGACTTAAAAGCAGTCAGGGCCTCGGGAGCAGCTCAGCTGGCAGTTCTGGCTCCGTTGCAATGAGGCTGTCATCGAGCTGCTGCCTGGCCTTTTGTCTCACCTGGAGGCTTGACGGGGGCTGGAGGAGCAGCTGCCAGGATGGCACCTCGCACAGCCACTGATGGGAGGGCTTGGCGCTCTGGAACACGGGTCCTCTGCGGGCTGCTGGAGCATCCCCACAGCCTGGCAGCTGACTGCCCTCAGCTCACGTGATCGGAGGTAACGGAAACCTCAGAAAGCGAAACTGTCCGGCGAGCTGCTGTGGTAAAAAAAATGTCTTAGCTCACCGGGCGTGTATATGCCTTTGGTCAGACGTCAGGGTTAAGTCTCAGCCTGGGCAGGTAGTGTCCGGAGCGGTCAGAATGCTGTGTCTGAGCCAGGAAACAAGGTTAGAGTCCTCTTTGTGCTGCTTACTTGTGTGGCCTTGAACCATCGGCATGGCCTTCACCGGTGTGCAAACAGCTCCTGGCTCCAGTTTCCCCACTGGCACGCTGCTGGCCTCTGGGCGATGCCGGAGGTCCGGAGGAGTGGGCACAGGGAGGGATGGTAGGCGGTGGCTCTGCCGCTGCGGCCTCTCCTGGGCTATCCTGAGAGGGGACCCGGGGATTGGGGTGACCTCTGAGGATTGCTCCGATGCCTTGGGGTCCCTCCTCACACACCTCATCTGCCACGCGGCCCTTCCTCTGAGCTCCTGGTCAAGACTTGGTAAACGCGAAGCCCTGCCTGGGGCCCCAGAGAGGCAGGCCTCCATCTTAGCATCTGTAGACAACCCCCCAATGGATGCCTTGGTCCTGAGGACTTGGGGCTGCCCACATCAGCTGTGGTGTGTGGGGACGCATCCTGGGTGTCCCCTGTGGGCAGCAGGACAGGAGCTCTAGTCCCTGGTGTCCTGGGTGTCAGCCTTCACCAGCTGCCGTTGTGCCCGCTCAGGGTCATGGACCTGGCCCTCTGCCCGAGGCCTGCATGCCAGGCTGGGCCTGGCTGTCCCCAAGGCCTGGGGAAGGCAGCAGCAGGAGGAGGGGCAGCGTTGGGGTACCCCTGCACCCCCCTGCCAAGCAGTGCATAGGCTTCTGACACCGCCTCACCTCTCTCCCTCGAAGCCCCCCACCCCGGAGGGGGGTGCAGCAGGCAGCCTCTGCCCCGTTGGCTGAGCCTGACCCGTGTGGCCTTGGCCAGCCCCCTCGCCCGCGAGGACCTGGGATAGGGTTTTGGCCCCAGTTGGCGGATGGGCTGTACAATAACAAGTGATCTGCCCCACTCTGAAGCCCAGCACGTAAGTGAGCTCCGGGACTGACCTCAGCGAGGCAGACTTTCTCCTTATCTCCGTGTCACAGACCAGGGGATGGGGCTCAGCGAGGGGAAGGGACTGGCCTGAGGGCTGCGGGGCCAGGTTAAAGGCCCGGCGCCTGGCCGCTGAGTCAGTGCTGAGCCCTCACCTCTAGCCCCTGCTTTCTGCTGACTCGTGGCCTTGGCCGCACCTCCCACCCTCCGTCCCTGCTGGCCCTGGGGCGGGAGGGGGGGGGGGGGGGGACGGACGACACACCGAAGGCACCCTGGGGCCAGGCTTCCGGAGCACGTTGTCCATGTGCTCCCTGGTCCTGGAGCGGCTGGCGGGGTGCCAGGCGGGCTGAGAAAGGACGCTGGTCAGAACCTGTGCTTTCTGGCCATCCGGCTGCTAGGTAGGGGCAGGAACCTGGGTTCCAGGTGACTGGACACGTGGCTCCCTCTCCCCACCCCCACCCCCGCCCTTCCAGAGAGAGGAGGACACCAGGGGTCAGCCGCGGGTCGCTCCGGGGCGGCTGCCGTGGGCGCTGCTGCCCACGTGACCCGCCGGCAGCTGGGAGGCCAGCCTGCTGGCTGTGGGCGCAGGGCCCTTGAGGGGGTCCTTTGTTCCCGAGGTACAAGCCCTGACCCGGAAGAACGGTGTTCCCTCGAGCCCGCGCCTGCCTCAATATTGTCTTTTATGCGTCAGCTGCTTCCCCCACCGCCACCGCCACCGCCGAGCACCCGGCCCCACTGCTGAGATATTATCCCTGCCCAGCGGGGAATGACGGCTCCACATGGCTGGGCTCTCTGGGACCCAGGGCTGGGGCGTATGTTCCCGGGAAGTAGGGGGGCTGGTCTCGGGGCCTGCCCCTGTGCTCAGCTGGCCGCCTGGGGAGGGGCATGGCCGCAGGTTCCAATCAGACCCGTTTAGACTTGGCACAGAACCTCCTGCAGAGGTGAGGAGGGCTCTGGGTGGGGGACCACCGCCTGGGGTGGGCCTTGCTCCCACGCTCCTGCCCTGCTGTGTTCTTGGGTGTTCTGTGCTTGTGCGTGCCCCACCCACCACGCCCATGACTCCGTGAACCCCACTCTCCCACCCCCAGACGACCCCGCGGCCTTCCCAGGCCCCTGTCTGGGGTCGTAAGGTAATTGCCGCTTCCTGCGCGTGACCTGTTGCCCCCGCCGAGGCCGCCGGCCTTGATTTACTCCCTGGAATCGCACCGCAGCGAGGGAGCGGGGCCTGGGCCTGGGCAGGTGGCCCCAGAGGCAGGAAATGTTCCCGGAGAGCTTATTTATGGCGTCCTCTCCCGCCCAGGACCGAGCGGGGCTGATTGATGGGGCGTGCAGGGCAGGGGAGGCTCCGCCTCCTCGCTGACACTTGAATGGGCCTGGGAAGGCCGGGCTGTGATTAGGTGGCCCAGTCCTCCCGCGTGGCGTCTGAGGTCGCCCTGGTGGGCGGCCGCTCCTTGGCCGGCGTGGCCTGACCCTGGCCCCCCGTGTGTGTGGAGGAGGGGGTTCCCCGCCGATGCCAGTTAGGTCTGCCTGCCGGTTAGATCCGCCTGCCGGTTAGGTCTGCCTGCCGGTTAGACCCGCCGTTCCGAATCGTGAGCTTCTCCACAGGGCCTGCACCCGGTGAGGGAGCACGGCGGGGACTGGACACTGGGTTCTGTCCCCCACTTCCCCCTCCACCGCCGACGGCCCATCCTCCACAGCCTGTTCTCGGAGGCACCTCCTCAGCAGAAGACCATTCAGGATCCCCGGTGGCTTTGGGACTCAGTAGGGCATGGTGGCGACAGACAAGGCCTCCAGGCCACCTGCCACCTCCGTGCACCCGCCCCGTGCCCCCAAGATCTTTTCCCTGCCCAGCAGGGGGCCGATGGCACCGGCATGGCCTGGCTCCCGGGGATGCGTGTTCAGGGGAAGTGGGTGTGCCGGTCTTGGGGGCCTGCCTCCTAGGGGCCCCCATGCTCAGTCAGACGCTGGGTCTGCACTGTCTGAGCCTCTGTTTCCGTTTTTCTAAAATGGGGACGGTACCAGTGCCAGCCTCACCGGCTGTGCCAGAGGCCTGGCAGGAAGGTTACCCGTGAGCTGCTGGCCTGCTCGTCTTCGTTGTCACTGCTAGTTTGGCTGGCCTTGCCCCTTGCCTCCGTCTCCCTCCCCGAGGCCGGGTCAGGGATGATTTCTGCTGCTGTCACATTCCCCCAGGCCTGCCCAGCGGCACTGGAGAGGTGGTAGGGGTTGTGCGGGTGGAGCCATTGGGGTCCTGGGCGCATACCTGGCTCTTTAATTACGGATCCAGGAGGGTGGGGTATCCCTGGACCCTCGGGGCCACTGGCCGGACTCGCGGCCCATTCTCTCTGCAGCGCTGGCTCTGTCTGCTTTGCCTGCCTCTCCTCTGGGGTCACCCAGGCCCCTCCTGCTCCCTGCATGCCGCCCGCTGGCCGGACCCCTGAGCCCCGGACCCCGCTCTGGTGCTGGCCTCCTGCTCTCTGGGTGACCTCTGGTTCTTCTCTTCCTGTTTCAGGCATGAGCCATGAGCCCAAGTCCCCTTCACTAGGAATGCTTTCCACCGCGACCAGGACCACCGCCACCGTCAACCCCCTCACCCCCTCGCCGCTCAATGGCGCCCTGGTGCCCAGCGGCAGCCCCGCCACCAGCAGTGCGCTGTCGGCCCAGGCCGCGCCGTCCTCCAGCTTTGCCGCTGCGCTGCGCAAGCTCGCCAAACAGGCAGAGGAGCCCAGAGGTAAGAGGCGCACGCCAGGCCACCGCCGAGGGAGGGAGAGGAGCCCCCCATGCCCTCCTGCCAGGCCGCTCCGCTCCGCTCCGCGCCAGGGGCGGCCCGGGAAGCAGCCAGTCCCCTCCGGGTCTCCTTGTGCCGGTTCCGTCTGGTGGGAGCCGCACAAGGAGCTTGCAGGCTTCCCGGACCCCTGCCCGGCCAGCGGGCCCCCCAGCCATGGACACCTCTGCTTGGCTTCTGCTTTCGCTCTGCTCCTGCCTCTGTCCTTCCTGGGCTCCGGGAGCCCCCGTGGGGGTGTCAGCGGTGGGCTGTGCGCCCGGCTGGGGAAGGTGGGCCTCAGAGGAGTGGCCTCAGGGGAGTGCTGAGCCCTGACCCGCCTCCCCGGAGCCCGTGAGAGCCCACCCCCAGGTCACCCGTTCTTGGAGAGCCATGTGCTCCAGGCTCTGGCACCCACTTCCGGCTTTCAGGGAGCAGGCTTTGCAAACCTGACGGATCCTGGAACAGGGTTTCCGGGGCAGCTCCCAGCTCACTGGAGCAGGGGTGCAGGGGCATGGACGGGGCTGGTGTCGCCTAGCGGTCCAGAGCCCTAGCTTCTGGTGTCTCTCGGGCAGTGACGTGCTGTGTGGCATGGGCAAACGCTGACCCTCTCTGAGCTCCACTCTCCGTGTGTGAACCCTGAGGCTGTCTGTGCCTCTGGCTCCGGGCACTCCTCAGGATGGGCGTCCTGCTTGCCCCCGTGGTAGTTCTGGTCAAGGGCAGCTGGTTCCACGACCAGGGGTGGGGGCGGTTTGCACCGCGCCGCCGGGAGACCTGGGCCCGTGCGGATTGTGGGGCAGGCCTCTTAGACACCCTCTGCGCTTACTGCCAGGAGGAGGGGGCCCACATCCGGGGCGGAGAAAGTGGGCGCTCTGGGTGCCTCTGCCCGTCGTCTGCCTCGCCCCAAAGGCCCCCAAGCCTTGGCATCTGGGTTCCAGGGCCCTCGGAGGCGCCCAGGAAATACGTGAGCAGGAAGGACCTGTGTCAGTGCTTATGGGCTCCGTGGCCGCGGCTCAGAGGCACAGACATTCGCCCTGACCTGGGTTTGCTGGCGGTTCTTCCAGTTCTGAGATCTCGTCTCTTCCCAGCCCCTTGTACGACCTGGGTTTGGGATGGAGGGGGAAGTGTGAGGGGAATGAGCTTAGACTCGATGGGCAGGGTGGCACTGGCCCAGGAGGGAGGACCACTGGGGCCTGCTTTCATGCCCACTTGCGGAGGGCTGCCCCGCCCACTGGGCAGTGTAGCTGCCAGCAGACCTCCCACGCCGCTGCATGCACACCCCTCCTCACCCTCCACGCCGGCCTCGGGGCTCCATGGCCACTTCTGAGCGACAGGCTGCAGGCCATGCCGTGACGGCATCGGTGTCGACAGGCCTGGCTGCCTGGGCTCACATGGCACCACCCAGCTGGAGGGCAGATGCCCAGAGGAGGCAGCGAGCTGAGCTCTCTGCCTGGACCCGCCGAGGCCCCAGACTGGACAGCCGGGCAGGCTGCAGGGCACACAGCTGGGACTGAGGCTCGGGGTCTCCTCACAGCCAGGGAGGAGCCCCTGGGGCAGAATTTGCCCGGCAGCTCCCTGCTCTGGCTGTCTTCTCCCAGAGCGTCGCAGAAGACAAAGAAACGGCTGGCACGGCTTCCGAAGCCGGCATGTGGGAGGGTGCCGGTCCCGCCGGGGCTGAGTCGCCCGAGTGTCAGGGCTGCAGCGAGCAGCTGACCCCGCCGCTGCAGAGGACATGGCAGCGAAAGGGCACACGTCCCTCCTCGCCAGGGCAGGTGGTGGAGCGGCCTGCAGATGTGGGCCCACGTGGAGGCCGGGGGCCGGGTGCGGGGGCTGCCGCAGGCTGGCCCGGCGTCTGGCGTGCGTGGTGGCCCAGGAGGCAGCCGGTGCGCTCGAGGCTGCCGGGCCTCGCTGGCTGGGAACAGAGTGTGCTGCTGACGGGGGTCAGGCTCCGCGGCGGCAGCAGGGTGTCAGAGAGGGAGTTGAAGGCTGGTCTGAGCTCTTACCGTTGTCAGAGCTCGGTGCCTGCCACTGGCTCACTGCCTTGCGCTGGTCCTGTCTTCCCCTGGTTCTGCTGAGAAAGCTTACGTCTGGGTGGGGCTCAGCGCCTGTGGGCCTTGGCGCAGTATTTGGACCCCAGGATGCTCTCTGGTCCCCAGGTGTTGCCGTGTGTGTGTGCGCCTGGGCCTCGTCTCCTCGCACCTGAGCCGTGGACCAAGCTGTCCCCTCTGCTTCTCCAGCTCGTGGTGGCTTTCAGAGCCACGGCAGGGAGCTCAGTTTGCGATTCTCTAGTCGGGGGCTTGATTTAAAGGAGGGAGGTGCTGAGTTTTACCCTGCGGTACCTCCTCTGGCCCATCTCCCGTGCCTGCTCCCATTTTTCTCCCTGCGTCACCCTTGCTCTGGCCTGGCCGTCTCCATCTGCAGAATTGGCTGGCCGCCCAGGTTGGCCCATGGTGCGGCTGGAGACGCTGAGGCCAGAGAGGTCAGGTCGCAAGCAAAGGTCCCACCACTGCGCCCCTTGCTGCTGCTGCAGCTGCGGCTGGCTTTCCAAGTGTCTGGGGAGCGGAGTTAGGACCAGAGGTCTCCGCGAGGAAGGAGCCCCCTGCAGTGGTTCAGGGGGTGCTCAGTAGTCTGTGCCTCCCTGGAGGGTGTGGGGGAAAGAGGGAGCAGCTTCTGGAAGCCTGGGGGCAGCGAGGCCGGGGTGCAGGGCGCAGCATGTCCCAGCTCCCCCCGGACACCCAGGGACTTTTGGCAGGCGTGGCCATGGGCGAAGGGTTAGACGTGTTAATTTTTCAAGATAAACGTCACCCTTTGGAGGGGTACAGCTGATTTTTAGTGCGTCCAGAGTTCTGTAACCATCGCCACTCGTTCCAGCACATTTCCGTCTCCCCTAGAGGAACCCGGGCCCGCTGGCCGCCGCTCCGCCATGGGGGTGCGCTACGGGGTGTCACTCTGAGGGGCCACAGCCACGTGCCGCCTCCAGCCCCTCCACCGGCAGCCGCTGTGCAGGGCTTCACCCCTTCCCGGGACCGAACGCCCCTGGGCTGGTGGCACCCGCCCTGCTCCCGGGCGTGAAGAGGCACGTCCAGGGCTCTCCCCTCCTCTCACAGCAGCGATGTCCGCAGAGCACCGGCTACAGGCTGCCCCAGGACACTGCCACCTGCTGTTCCTCCCTCCGGGCCAGGCCTCTCGTCTCGGGCCGGGGAGGCCTGGACACTGGGGTGAAGGGTCCTCCCGGAAGTGCTGGCCTCTCAGCATCTAGGGTTGAGTTGGCTCAGGATCCCATGATCGACTCCCAGCAGCACCATCCCCTGGGGCAGAGGTGCTGGAGCTGGAGCAGCTTCCAGACCCGCACAGGCCCCAGCCCACCCCCGCCCCCGCAAGCCTGCTCCCACCCCCACCCCCGCAGGCCCGCCCTTACCCCTGCAGGTCCGCCCCCGCAGGCCCGCCCCCACCCCGCAGGCCCCATGGAAAGCTGACAGGCTTTGGCTTTGTCAGCCACAGGCCGCCCGTGCCTGTCCCAGCCTGGAGTGCATCCGGTTCACCTTTGACCCTCCCCACACCCCTCCTCCGCCGTGGCAGTGTCCTCTTATTTTGAGCCGTGGACCAAGCTGTCCCCTCTGCTTCTCCAGCTGGTGGTGGCTTTCAGTTTAAAAATCCGGTTCAAAAAAATAAAAATAAAAATCCGGTTCAGGGGCAGTTACCCGGAGAAAGGCCGGAGAAAGGCCGCGGAGAGCCGGCCCTCAGTGGGGAGCTTTATCTTTCCTGAGGCTCCCAAATGCGCATTCTTCTCATTGCACAAAACCTGCCGGATGGGCCGCGTCCGCCCCGAGGGGCCGGATGCCTGGGCCGCTTGACCCTTTGCCACCCGGGGCCGCTACCTGGCGATGAGTGGGTTCTGGTTCACGTCCTGGCTGGGTGACCCTCTGTGCACGTCTGTCCTCTCGGGATGAGGATAACATCTCTGCCCTGTAGATTTCGATGATTCAGCAGGAACACGCTAGCGCCAGGCACAGCAGCCGTGTGCCATGAACGAGGGCCACCAGTGCCGTCGGCTCCTCTCTCCCCGACGGCTGCCGCCACCCCCACCCCCACCACGAAGGCCACCACCATCTCCTTTGCCCCCGCCCCGTCCAGAAGCCCAGCTGGGGCTTGAGGGCTCTCCAGGGGTGGGGGTGCTCCTGGACATGGCAGCTGCGCCCCTGATCTTGGGCCAAAGGGAGAGGCAGAGAACCCGGCCCGTCGGGCTGGGTCAGCCATTGCTGCCACAGCTGTTCCTGTCTGTGCCGACGGCATGGAGTACGTCCAGGCCCAGGGCGGCCTCTCTCCTTCACCAAGTCCCAAGGAGTGACCAAGCCCACACCACACTCTGGAAGGAGCCTCAGGCTACAGATTGGGGCCTAAATCCCAAGTTTGGGTCTGACCCCAATGCACCCATGGGACCCTTTGTCAGTGACAGGCCAACGGGCCCCACCTGGGATTGAGGTGCCACGCAGGCAGCGCCCCCGATGTCTGTGTCAGCTCCTGGAGCCCCCCCTCCCCCATTGCCCTGCCCCCCAAAGCGAAGTCTCCGGGGCCGCTCGGCCGTTCCTCCCCCTCGGAAGCTGCTAGGCCAGTTCCAGCCTTGGACTGGCCTCCCCTCTTCCAGTCCCCCTACCAGAACCTCTTCTGGACAGAAACCACACCCTCCCCACCCCCATAGGTGTCTGAAGCCCCAGTTTGGGCCTTGGAATGAGTCCCAGGCGAGGAGTCCCAAGACCCCTGTCAGAGGTCGGGACCCCTCTCGGCCTCCAGAGCTTGCAGGGCACGTTGGGTGTCTCGTCATGTCGGGGGCGTGGAGGTGCTTGCTGAAGGACAGTTTGTTCATCCTCTGGCCCTGGCCGGGGTCTGACAGCTGCTCGCTCTGCCCTAGGAGCCTCCTCGGGCCTGACCCTTCCCCTCTGTGCCCCTCAGAGGGCGAGTCTGGTGGCCTG